AATGTTTGTTGAAGGTTTCCACACGAGTTTGTTGTTATTTTCAAACGCAAAACTAAGATTTGTTGACAACAATACGTGTTTTACATAAAAGAAACGTACACAGAACTAGATGACCAGCACGCAGTCAATTGAGTGAACAGAGGAACATTGTGTCCACCAAGCTTGTGACGTAACGTATTACGCACACACATATTTGCTTGACGTCATAGATATCTGTGCTGATTCCACGGGGCCGTGTGGGGTAGCCTAGTGGGTAAAGCGTTAGCTCGTCATGCCGAAGACCCGGGTTCGATTCCCATGCATGGGTACAATGTGTGAGAGAGCCCATCTCTGAGGTGTCCCCATACCGTGATGTTGCTGGAATATTGCTAAAAGCGGCGTAAAGGCAAACTCACTCACTCCACTAAAATTATAAAGAAATGAGATACCATTTGTAGATTACCACTCATGTGTGTTTGGGGATGGTTAATATTCTGCATTAGAGATAGACGCCATGTATTTAGCTCGCATGAGAGTGTACAAATGTGTGTAGGAGAGTCAGCAGCACTGGTTTAAAAGCGCGTCTGTGTGTACATACGTAGTGTTGAATTTCAAAATACCATCAAAACAAGCGATGGCATGAAATACAGATGATAGTAAATTACAGTGTTGTTGTAATAGACCAAAGCGTGTGTCGCTTGGGGACTGGAGGCAAATGGAGTCAGTCAATATGCCTACGCAACGAGAACCTTCAGGTTGTTTCCAAGCACGTGTTCGTTGGTTACTACCAGAGTGTTTACACAAATGGTGTACAGAGTTAACCTGTAGAGTCAAGGTACAAGGTAGGTGGTGTGTGATGAAAATGACATGATATTCCTATGGAGTTACTTGACTTGCATATGATGTTTATTGTGTTCATGCGCCAATGTTACCTATAATGAGCTAATATGTTCACAATGTACCCCTGTTCACACAGTAGTGAGATGGTGGGTGTGACTGTTAACCTACAATGTACCCTGTTCACACAGTAGTGAGATGGTGGTGTGACTGTTAACCTACAATGTACCATATTTCGCACAGTAGTGAGATGGTGGTGGTGACTGTTAACCTACAATGTACCCCGGTTCACACAGTAGTAGTGAGATGGTGATGTGACTGTTAACCTGCTACAATGTATCCCCCGTTCACACAGTAGTGAGATGGTGATGTGACTGTTAACCTACAATGTATCCCTGTTCACACAGTAGTGAGATGGTGATGTATGACTGTTAACCCTACAATGTAACCCCTGTTCACACAGTGCAGTGAGATCGTGATGTGACTCTTTAACTTACAATCCTACCCCTGTTCACACAGTAGTGAGATCGTGATGTGACTGTTAACCTACAATGTACCCCTGTTCACACAGTAGTGAGATGGTGATGTGACTGTTAACCTACCAATGTACCCCTGTTCACACAGTAGTGAGATGGTGATGTGACTGTTAACCTACAATGTACCCCCTGTTCACACAGTAGTGAGATGGTGATGTGACTTTTAACCTACTTGCGACTCAGAGGCAGTCAGGGCTATGCACTCCTGGGTTGATTATTCCCAAGGAATATCAGATATTCAGAAAAACGTGCTCGAAACAATACGGTCCTAGACCCAGCGTGGTATTACTCAGCCCGGGTCTCTCTTGGGATTCCTTGTTATGGGAGAATATCGTTATGCCACGACCTACTGCTGTAGCTCGAAACATTTTCCATCTGACTTCTGGAGACAGGGGAGTTTCAATCTGCCGTTGCACGTCAGCTCAATGTTCACCAGAGTACCATCTTTACGCAAGATCGGCCTAGTAGATCTCGGACCACCACTACAGCGAAGGACAGGTGCATCCATGCACTTCATTTTGCAGAATCGAAATGTCCCAGCAACGGCAACTGCAAGTTTGCGAGAAGCTGGACCCTGTTTTGGGCCGGTGCTGTCACGACTACATCGACGTCGACGGGTCCAGTGTTGCAATAATGTTCGATTCTGGAATATACAAAACTGGCGACGTGTACGGTTCAGTGACGAATAACGCTTTCTGCTTCAGTGCTGTGATGGAAGAGTGCGTGTCTATCGTACGTTTTCCCAGGATTTAATGTCTCTAGGCTGGCCGATATGGTGGTGAGGGTGTAATGATATGGGTAGCCGTATCCTACACGCACAAATCTAACTTTATACGCCTTCAGGGCAGATTGAACTGCTATTCGGTACAGAGACGAAATCTTAAAGTTTCACATGGTTTCGATCACTGAGGCGCCAGAGGAGCGCCAGATAATGCCAGGCCCCACACAGCACATGCCACTATTCAGTATCTTCAGCATGAAAACATTGCAGTGCTTCCATGGCCTTCAAATCGCCCGACCTCAACCCCATTCAGCATTTGTGCAATGACCTCAGCCGATGCGTACGTGAACGTCAGCCAAGGCCCCAGACGTTAGATCACCCGAAGCTGGTATTGCAAGAGTAATGGGCTGGAATTTCCGCACGGTCGAATTTATAGATTTATACAGACCACGCCAAGACGATGCAGAGCAGGTTTTGGGGGTTCATTATTAGCCACAACAACTATTGAAGACAACGCTCAACTGGGAACGGACGCCTTTACTTATTGAACTGTTTATAAGCTATACATGTGAACAGATATTTGATCTTTAATGTAAAACATCTCAGCTGAAAAGTCTCTCAGCTGATTGTCATTATATATTACCCAGTTAACTGACGCACTAGCCTCAAATGAACACCGGTAATGATACATAGATGTGTTATTGTTCACATGTACATAAAATGACTACCTTAATGTCTCGAACCCAACACAAATTTGTTTGATCAGTGTTTCAAAATGTCATGGTAATATATACCGACAATAAAAGTTAGTCGCCAGCCTATTTCAAAACTAAGATGTGAAGCTGTGAAAATGTTAGGCTAAAATAATTGGGAAGACCGATCCATATTTAGAAGGTTCATCTGGTAACTTATTTAGGGATATCTTAAACATTTGTATTTACAATTAGAGAAATATTATTAAAGGTATGATGGCACTGCTTTTTAAAAGCAAAATAACTATTCTATTCTGCTCATACAACTCTATTAAACGAAGGTTTCACTTGTCAAAAATGACAATCATATGACCATATAACAGTCATTTCTGATTTTCACTTTCAAAGAAGGTAACCTTTTTGTGAAAACAAATGCATGTTTTTCAAAAGCGCATACATCCGTTTAAAGTAAAAGATACTTTCCATAATGGTTTTGTTTTAGACTAAAAGTACTAAACCAAATTATGATAGTTGTTTTGTTTTTTCTGAGACAACCTATATTGGCAAAATATACTGGGTGGCGCTTAACTTTGTATTCACAGTATATCTACAAGGCTGTACACAATATACCTAGAGTGGTGAGTGGAATATTGCTTTTAAGCCGCATCAGCAATGTTGCATCTATTCGCGGCGAAATATACCTTGAATGGTAACAGTAATGACGTCGACGATAATACTACTACTAATAAAATGCCATAATTTTCTAAAACAAAGAGCCAGGTTGCCACCTGAACAATTTACCATTCAGATTTCATCAAAGTCAAAACTACTTCAAGGTTAAAAGTCAGAATATGTATATACCAAGAAACATTGACTTTCCATCATCTAAAAGTTAATTGACAAACCTACATTCTATAATATGCAACATTGATAATGAAATGAAGTGCTATATAACACACGTTTGGCTTGTACTCTCTTGGATATTTGCTTCATATATCCCAAATAAAGGAACTATCATCAACTGGAAACATACACTGTAAAGTAAAGAAGGGAGATATATACATGAATGTATTCCATTCTTTCAGAATGGGGACAGGAGCAAAATTCGCGCTTGTGACTTTGTTGGCGGTGTTACATATTGCAAGGACTCAGAAAGTGTCAACTCTAAATGGACCACTTCTTGGACAACGACTGTCAGTGTTGGGCAAGTCCCTTGACGTATTCTATGGAATCCCATATGCCAAGCCTCCTGTAGGCGACCTCCGCTTCAAATATCCACAGCCATCAGAGTCATGGGGACCGGAAGTTAGGGATGCACGAAAACCGTCGTCATCTTGCTTCCAAATTAAAGATGCTCTTGGCACAGATGAGACTCACAAACAGATACCCGACGATTACAGTGAAGACTGCCTTCATCTTACAGTGTGGGCTCCGTCAGACAATGGTGGCAATCTGGCTGTGATGGTCTGGATCTATGGTGGAGGTTTTTATAGTGGATCTACACGAATGCCACTATATGAAGGAAAATACCTTGCAGCAGAGAATGACGTCATCGTTGTTTCAATGAATTACAGATTGGGGCCTCTAGGGTTCAGCTACCTTGGCCCAGATACCATCCCTGGCAACATGGGCTTGATAGATCAGCGACTGGCCTTACAGTGGGTGAAAGACAATATTGCCAACTTTGGTGGAGATCCAACCCGAGTGACCATTTTTGGAGAAAGTGCTGGTGGTGTAAGCGTGAGTGACCACCTGGTGTCACCTCTGTCACGTGACCTGTTTGACAGAGCCATCATGCAGAGTGGGACCCTCAATTGCCCATGGGCATACACGGTGCCCAAAACAGCAAAATTAGCAATAAAGAAGTTTGCTGATCATCTTGAATGTCCTTCATCTTCAACTGATGCAGAAATACATGAGTGCTTGAAAACAGCAGATGCACAAAATATGGCAGACCTTCAGCGCGTTTTGTTTGATGAAGGTCTTGCATTTGTTCCAGTTGTGGATGGGTACTTCCTTCCTGATGACCCAACAACTCTTCTGTCCAGCGGATCCATCAAGCAGACCAGTGTATTGCATGGGTTCACAGGAGACGAGATTACACTATTTTTGGCAATGGCGTTGAAGCAAATGAGAAACGTGTCCACATTACCTGAAACACTGATTTTAAGTCAACCAGAATATGAAAGTCTTCTTACCTTTGACTCTGTTACTGGTAGAGAATTTGTAGAGCCTCTTCGCCTGTTTTATGAAAGTCAAACATCCCCTCTAAGGGACACTCACCATTTGGATGTCGTGACACGCATGATTTCAGATAGGGATATCAAGTGTCCTCATATTGAGTTTGACAGATTGTACTCTCCTGCTAACCCTACCTACGTCTACAGTTTTAATCGCCGACTGTCAGTTAGTCCGAATCCACACTGGATGGGAGCAGCCCACTGGTACGAGCTTGACTTTGTGTTTGGTTGGGTTCTGGAAAAGTCTCTGGGATGTACTGAGGAGGAGATGGAACTCAGCAGGACCATCATGACGTACTGGACCAACTTTGCCAAGTCCGGGTGAGTGAATGAATGAGCCAGTGAAATACACCTTAAATGACACAAACTTTACTGATTCACCCTTTAAAAATAATCTTTTGTCAGATAATCAAGATTTCTTGACGTTTTCTTATCTGTATCCAGCGATCCGAACTCTCCTGTTCCAGTCAAGGTGAACTGGCCAGCCTCTGACAACACTGATCTCTCCTACATGGCCCTTGACGTGGGCAGCAAATTAGCAGCAGGACACGGGGTAGTCCACCACGAATGTGTCTTCATCAACAGGATTCTACCCATGGTTTCTAAAGGTAATATTATGATGGAACATCGGTTGTTTGGTACACATAAATGAATGGTTTTAGAAGTGACCTGGATACTTCTTTTGTTTGGGTAAATATTTACGATGATAGGTAATGTTTTTGTGGTTATTGTTTCAATTTACACACAGTCGAATGATTAGAAGAGATTCGTTTGAATTGGTAGTTGTTGATTCCCATGCTTAAACTATATAGTTAACCATGAATCAGTCTGTACGAGAATTATGTTTGAAACCAAGAACCCAAAAGCAAATATGATATAATTAAAAATTGTATTTTAAAATTTTAAAGTCGCAAATCAATACAAATCAATAGAATGATTTCACTGTTCCTAGTGATAGTTCATATCGATATGTTCATGCCGATGTTGATACTGATGTTCTTCATTAAATTACAGTCATGTCAGATTGTCCACGACTTCGAGACACCAGAAACATATGATCGCCAGTTGGAATCCAAACTATTATGCTTGTGACAAACGTCTAAGACATGTATCTCTTTTGGTTCTGATTGAGCTGAAATACTGTCCAAAGCAGCGTTTGGTACAGCTCACTCCCCTATTAACTAGCACTGGTGGAGAAAGAGATGGTTCAATGCTAACATCACCATTGATTTATTAGCGAGTGACAAAAGGGTTTCTCTGCATAAATGATACTGAAGTGCATCAAGGGAAATAGAGAATTCATGGTTGTGTTTCAGACTCACCGGAAGGGCAGGAGTACTGCACAAGAGGATGATAGGACAGCATCATACTAATCTGTCCCAAGTTGAAATACAGATACATCATAATGTTTTTAACGCCCTTTTGAACTGTATCTGAAGTCCCTTTTTGTACTGCTTAATCACATTCACTTCCACAATCAACCACAGACACCTGTCAACGACTTCGTGGAATAATTATGTTGTTCGTCATGGATTCATGTTAAATTTGTTTTAGCATACTGTGTCCTGCAAGTCAGTTAGTGTGTGTGTGGTAGCTGCATTGTAAGCTAAATAGTTTGTTTCATTTTTGCCCTGCTGGGTTAAATTATGTATGCAATATCTAGATTGACTAGAAGACTGGCATTTACGCTACATACTTGCTTGTCAACTGATACAGTTTTTATCTGCGTCATTGACTCGGGGATGCCAAGTGGTCTACATAGATGCATTAGTTTCACAAGAACATGGAAACAAAAACACATGTTCTCATTGCATTTGACAACCTTGTTCTCACCAAGAACATATGGGTCACATGAGACGATGAAAGGGATCGGGTGATCAGGCCCGCTGATGCATGTCAGTGTATCCCATTGACGTAGATACATGCTCATGATGTTGATCACTGCATGGCAGGTCCAGGCACGATTATTTACATGGAAAAGTGTAAAGAAACAAACAAAACCACTGTCCAAGTGCATGTAAGGTCGGAGGCGATCTATGCCAAACGATGGGGTCAAATTAGTTTAGGAATATAACAGTGAACGATTGAGTTAGGTTTGAATTTAATGATTTCAGTTGCCTCGATGTGGGTTGAAAGCTGTAAGCATTGTAGGTGTCGGTCGTTTACACGTGAGGTGAAAACAATGGATATGGTGATGATATACCAACAAACACAGCTGTACAACGCATTATACTGTTTTTAAACGTAGTAGATATATTCAATAAACAGCGAGTATAGTTTTACGCCGCTTTTAGCAATATTTCAGCAATATCGGATTCAATAACAGGTATCACAACAATTCATATTTTACATCTTTAAGAGAAATGTAAAATGGACATCTGAGAGAGATTTGCATTAGTCGTTGAACGTCAGTTGACCGCAGACATTGTTAGAGGATTGACCAAAGCGACCTTTTGTCCATCACGATATTTATCATAAAAAATCAAAATCATGAATATCGTTCGAATCTGCCTCTATTCTCAAGACAATCTCGGATTCGACGAGGCATACTTTTCGTCAAATGTCCAATGTGAACTTGGTTCATTCCATCCCATTCTTCCTGCAGCGCTTCGCCAAGTTCATTAAGAGTGGTGGGTGGTTGTTGACGGTGACGTACGCTCCGTCAAAGGATATCCCCGATGTGTTCGATGGGTGACAAGTCATAAATAGTCAAAATCACTAACATCGCCGGAATCAGGTTCTAGATTCAAGAAAACCACGGATTCGACGAGACATACTCCTAATCCACGTACAACAAGTGACGAGTTTATTTGCATTTGGAGCCACGTGATCCATATTGCTTGTACATACTGCACACAGTGCGCATTTCAAGATTTCAAGAGTTTTGTGTTTGTGGATGCTAGCAGTTGATACATTTTTTAAGCAGACGGATTATTATGATACTATTCAGATAAAAACTATTGTCTGCTTGTCTGAAAAAGTGAAATTCGTCTTCGATACAGCCTAGAAGACACTTTGTACATAAAAATACTTTGGGGTTATCATAACATATCATTTTAGCTAACTTAGCTTTAAATTTATGAGATGCACAGCGAAATTTACAATACACCATCAGCAAGTCATTTTCGGGAAACGAAAATTGAAAACAGATTGAAAACAACTGTAATACGTTTAGAAAGGACGACCATGAGATCTTGCAATGCCAGTGAAAACAAATTCATGAAAACATTAATACTACCACAATCGGGAGTGATCAACACGTACGAAAAGCCTATTATCATTATAATTATTATTACAGGATATTTATATAGCGCACATATCCAGGCAACTAGTGCATGCTCAAGGCGCTGGTATTTTTCCCCTTGATCATTGGATGTCAATCTCAACGGCACAACGTATTATCAATCTCAACTCCCCGGGGAGTATACAACTCTTGAAGCCACTAGGCGCACTGAGTTGTTGTGGTTTCTCACCCTAACGAGGTACCCATTCACAGCTGGGTGGACTGGGGACACATAGTCGCAGTACTTTGTCTAAGTTTACTGCACGTTGATGTACCCGCAACTAGGTGTTTGCACGTATTCATGTGGCCACCATCAGGTCATTTATCAACGGATTCGTGGGTTCGTTTAAGTGCACAGGGTTGTGCACTGTACACTAGGGGTTGTGACAACACTGAAAGAGTCTGCACACAAACAGTTTCACACGATAATATTCGAATACGAGAAACCCAACATACTTTATCCTGTTTATCAAACTGTTTCATCATTTCATAAGCAGCTCTTGGAAACCTTGACCTATCCATTCAAATAAGTCTACACCAGTAGCTAATACAACGTCTATAATAAATACTAAACAATTAACTTCTGCCTCCATCACCAAGAATTGCATTGCTTATTTCATTCCATTCTTCCTGCAGCGACTCGCCAAGTTCATTACGAGTGGTGGTTGGTTGTTCATGGTGCCTTTCGCATCGTCTCAGGCAATCCAGACATGTTCGATGACTGACAAGTGTGGACTGAGTGCTGGCCTTGATAAGGTATGTTCTGTTGGAGGTACCAAAACGAGCCTTGTGTGGTCTTGCGATGTCATCTTGAACAAAAAAACAACCTTGATTCGTCCGAAAACATAACCTTTGCCCAACGACGATTGGCTCAGAGCTGTAACTCTTGACACCATCGACGTCTTGCCGTAACGTGTGGGTCCATTAATCGTGGGATAACACGTGGACCTCAGGTGTGTAGGTTCCATCTGTGTAAATGGTGACGACTCGTCTGTCCATGCACACTGAAACCTGTAGCTCTGTAAAGGTCATTTATAATTTGAGAGGCACTTTAACCAAGATTTTGTTTCAATGAAACTGTCTAACGCGCCAGCTGTCGCCCTTGGTCGACTAGATCGACGTCTGTCATCAACGTCGTGACTGTAACCTGCTAATTGCTGACTGGGAAGAGTTAAGAGCTTGTGCTACAATAATCTGTCTTGTTCCAACTTCCAACACTGAAAACAATAACAGAACAACTTTCAGTCTGGTTTTACCTCTGAAATGAACAGCAACACACTGACACGTTTCACTGTAAACTTACACCGACCCCGAAATTTTGCACGAAATTCAAAACACGTTTTGACTTCAATAACCGATAATCATTTGCTAAATTCATGTATCGTCACACAACGAGGTTTCCTAAATAATGTCGCCCCAAAATGGAACATTCCCTACTTTTTTAACTGTATATATAAATCACGGGCAACTGAGTACAACCTCGTTTCCAGTCACTCCCAAATGAAAATATTCCCTACTTTTTTAACAGTACATATAACATATAAATCAGAGGTAACTGAGTTAATATGAACAAGTGTTTTGAGCGGAGCTGTACCTCGACTTCAGGTGGAGAATCTGCAAGTCATCCAGCAAGGCCGCCCGCCTGATTACAGTATGTGTAGACTAGACTCGGGGGGACTTTGGCCATTCAGTTAATAGTGTTTGCAGTGGGGATAAAATGGCATGATTATAGCCAAGACATCAAGCCAGACAGACACTTTAAATCGTTTGCTACAACACATATGGATCCAGAGGCACTTCCTAGTGACCCAACACAAAGTAATAATGGTCGTCTATAAAACCTCATGCACTCATTTGATCGTGACATATCCTGTAGTGGTTACTGAACAGTACCGAGATTTTGGAGGGCGTGGATGGATTGGTGTGTGGCTGGTTGAGTGAGTGAGTGGTTCACTGAGTGAGTGGTGTGAGTGAGTGGTTGAGTGAATAAATGAGTGAATGAGAGAGTGACTTTGGGCTGTTACTCATTCACTCACTTATGCACACATTGCCTCACTCACTCTAAAACCATTCACTTGAGGCAGCCAGGAAAGGAGTGAGTGAGTGGGTGATGGACTCTCGTGATGAAAGTACAATACTGTTGTACAACACTCAATCACTTATGCACGCACTGACTCACTCACTCTAAAACCATTCGCTTCTCAAATTAACAGACGTTCCGGACTCACCTGTAACTGAGATTTTGCATGTCACACTAACCAGGTCACGATGCGAGATATCACTGGTGTAACAGCGTCTGTGTGTACACCCCAGTGCAGTGTCCATAGTACAACTGTAGAGTCAGGTATAAGGTGAGTGTGTGATGAAAAATGACATTCTGTTTTCCATTAAATACCATTGACGTATACTGTTGTCGAACTATAGGTAATGTAACAGCGTCTATGTGTACACCCCAGTGTAGTGTGCACAGTACAACTGTAGAGTCAGGTACAAGGTGAGTGTGTAATGAAAAATGACATTATTTTCCATCAAATACCATTGACGTATATTGTGGTCGAAATATAGGTAAAGACTGGCAGTGTTGTTACTCTAGCAGTTTATGTTTTTTGGATTTCGGTTGCATATGCTTGCATACAAATAGGCCTGTATATTACCTGCTCTCACCCAGAAAGCTTGATGTTGCAAATTGTTTACAAGCGATTGTTCCTGTTAAAGAGGCAGTTGCTCCTTCATGCTGTGTTTTAATTGCATGGTGTTGTTTGAGTTCGAGTCAACGTTACCAATGGATAAATACGTTCGGATGTACCTCTGTTCATTCCGCAATACAAGGGTACCAGTAGGGAATAGATTGTCATGTGCCTGTAAACCAAGTTCAATATTCCGAAGAATGAAAATTGATGGCAGATTAATCCACTAAAGGGGTCATAAGATTATTTATCAATCATTTGACAATCTTGACCGCTGGTGCGTTCCTTTACATTCAGTGACGTCATGTCTACCAAGTCACCATACGGGTCAGACAAACTTTTCGCATTTGTACTTCGTTCTAAGTCAGCAACGGTTAGACAAGATTCCTTATCATCAACATCAGATTTACCGAAACGGCCGGCTGATGACATTTCACTGCTGTACCCGTACTCGATGTCAATGAGTGCAGACACAAAAAACGTGTGTGAACCTTTTGGTTTACGTTTGTGTTTACAATGTCGATAAACATCTCCTAATTGACGTAATGTTCTTGGTATCTGTTAGCTCCATAACTTTGTGTGAAGACAGTTGAGGGATATTTCAACGCAAGGTGCACCGCCTGAAATTTCTCCAAGTAGAACTCGACTTAGTTTCCTCATCTGACCACTGACCATGAGATATAGCCTGACCAAACTGCGCACAATAGCCCCCAAAACCAGAACCATTCGCATCACTGTACGCAACTCGCGTTGCAACAGATTGGGTCTTTAGCACAGTACTTGGGTAAGCATTAATATCTGTCAACCAAAATCTCAATTGATCAACGCTTTGAGAGGATAGCTTCACTTCACTGTTCCAAGATGACACGGATATGATATCCATATGAGCAATCGATTCATCAGTTGAACAATTGGGCCTGTCACCATCTTCATTGATACTACCTGCCCAACGACTGAGGCCACTGACCTAACACTCTGATATCTATGCTTATGCATTAGTAGATACTGACGATCTGAAGTTAACTTATCCACCTTTCTCTGTGGAGTGAGTGAGTGAGCTTACTTTTACGCCGCTTTTGGCAATATTCCAGCAATATAACTGCGGGGGACACCAGAAATAGTTTCTCTTTGGAATAGACAATACCATCGAAACAGTGTTGATATGGAATCCTAACCACTCAAGAGGCTGTGAGGGCGACCATAACGACGTTTCAGCTTTAGGGACAAAGCCGGACCCGAATCAAATCGTCTTTCACCTGTAGAATTGGCTTTATTAGCACAGGACACATTTAAAATACTGTCGTCTAAAAATGTTACTGCTTTCTTGCCCTCATACCGCCATTTCTAAACAAGCTGACGCATAACTTTAGTGAATACATATGGAGCAGATGTAAACCCCAAAGTCATAACCAAGAACTTGTAATAGTAAGTCTCCCCTGACGAATCTTTCCATGAAAAACCGAGATAATTTGTGTGATCATCACATATATCGATGTGGTGATAGGCCGAGTGTATATCGAATTTAATAAGCCATCATTCATGTTTAAGTACTGACGAGCCACTTTCCAATCTTCACACTCGACACTCTTTTTCTGAACATAATTGTTAACTCTAGATAGGTCATAGATCAAATGTTTTTAACCAGATGACTGAATGGAAACAGACAATGGATTAACGACGTATGGAGGAAACTTGCACTTAACTTTTCAGCGACCCTTGACAATGATATCTGCTGTGCCCTGTTGATAATCACAATAATCGTCAGTTAGCATAGGATGTGTCATAATAACATAGATAGTAAAAATAGTTTCTTTGTTTCAAATTATAGCATCTGTACATAATGTTCTGAACTAAACCTTATAAATATGTATAGACAAATCTGTATATATGCAAAAAAACAACTGTTTTGTTCAGTTTAAGTATTAATATACATTACATGATATACATGATCTGTTCAGTTTAAGTATTAATATACATTACATGATATACATGATATGTTCAGTTAAAGTATTAATATACAATACATGATATACATGATCTGTTCAGTTTAAGTATTCATATACAATACATGATATATATGATGTGTTCATTTTAAGTATTAATATACAATACATGATATACATGCAGTGTTCATTTTAAGTATTAATATACAATACATGATATACATGATATGTTCAGTTTAAGTATTAATATACAATACATGATATATATGATGTGTTCAGTTTAAGTATTAATATACAATACATGATATACATGATATGTTCAGTTTAAATATTAATATACAATACATGATATACATGTTCTGTTCAGTTTAAGTATTAATATACATTACATGATATACATGATATGTTCAGTTAAAGTATTAATATACAATACATGATATACATGATCTGTTCAGTTTAAGTATTAATATACAATACATGATATATATGATATGTTCAGTTTAAGTATTAATATACAATACATGATATACATGATATGTTCAGTTTAAGTATTAATATACAATACATGATATACATGATCTGTTCAGTTTAAGTATTAATATACAATACATGATATATATGATGTGTTCAGTTTAAGTATTAATATACAATACATGATATACATGCAGTGTTCATTTTAAGTATTAATATACAATACATGATATACATGATATGTTCAGTTTAAGTATTAATATACAATACATGATATACATGATATGTTCAGTTTAAGTATTAATATACAATACATGATATACATGATATGTTCAGTTTAAGTATTAATATACAATACATGATATACATGATGTGTTCAGTTTAAGTATTAATATACAATACATGACATACATGATGTGTTCAGTTTAAGTATAAATATACAAAACATGATATACATGATATGTTCAGTTGAAGTATTAATATACAATACATGATAACCATGGTATGTTCAGTTGAAGTATTAATATTCAATACATGATGTACATGATATGTTCAGTTTAAGTATTGATATACAATACATGATATACATGATATGTTCAGTTTAAGTATTAATATACAATACATGATATACATGATATGTTCAGTTTAAGTATTAATATACAATACATGATGTACATGATATGTTCAGTTTAAGTATTAATATACAATACATGATATACATGATATGTTCAGTTTAAGTATTAATATACAATACATGATATACATGATGTGTTCAGTTTAAGTATTAATATACAATACATGACATACATGATGTGTTCAGTTTAAGTATTAATATACAATACATGACATACATGATGTGTTCAGTTTAAGTATAAATATACAAAACATGATATACATGATATGTTCAGTTGAAGTATTAATATACAATACATGATAACCATGGTATGTTCAGTTGAAGTATTAATATTCAATACATGATGTACATGATATGTTCAGTTTAAGTATTGATATACAATACATGATATACATGACATGTTCAGGTTTGTTCAATATTACTCACTCACTCAGTTTACTCATTGCAACTTACCCAGATAAGAAAGTCAGAAAGAAGATTGTTTTATTTATGACCAACTGTGAAATAAGCTCATTCACAGTTCCAGGGGAATATCAAAAATGATTTTGACTCTAATATTCATTTTTAGCTGCATTTGAATTTCTGCTCTGCTGCTGTAGTTATTCCCTATTCAGATCTCAGGGCAAACATTCTCATCCACCTTTTCAACCTTTGCCTCAAACGTGCTCACAACAGCATAGGTGAGAAGCTTATCATAGTAAGACAAGATAAAGGAAATGCACTCTTCATCTAATCGATAATGGGGGGCAGTGGGGTAGCCTAATGGTTAAAGCGTTGGCTCGTCACGCCGAAGACCCGGGTTCGAATCCCCACATGGGTACAATGTGTGAAGCCCATTTCTGGTGTCCCCCGCCGTGATGTTGCTGGAATATTGCTTAAAGCGGCGTAAAACCAAACTCAGTCAGTCAGTAATCGATCATGGTAGCTTGGGATGAGATTCTGTGCAGCTATGATTGACTGGTGAGATTCTGTGCGGCTATGATTGACTGGTGAGATTCTGTGCGGCTATGATTGACTCGTGAGAATAGTCAAACCTTGTGTTCTGTGAGTACATGATCTATAAATGCTTTAAACACATTGATCCTGCAGTAATCACTGACAGTCATTAGATGGGTAACAGCATTGGAACGATGTCATTGAGATCCAGTAACTCGTGGCCTCGTGATGTCAATACCAGCAGTTCGTCCAATGCTGACAATTCTATCCCATATAACGCGTTCGGTTTTAAAATTACATTTAGCGGTCTTAAATCAACGATAAAGGACCGCAAAATTGAAAACAGAGTAGCTTTATCTTCTAATTATTACTCGCCCGTGAATGATACTGCAGTGTAATATTTTTACAACAACAATATTACCGCTAAATGTATGTAATACCACTAGACGTATGACGTCATAATGGTTTACAGTTATGACGTCACAATGGTATAAGACCTGGCTTGACTCGTGGAAAGTTGAGAGTCATCACACTTCGTAGGCAGTTTCTATCAGTTTGTGTTGGAGAGTAATAAACAGAATACTAAACTCGCTTCCATGAAATACCATTTTTATTAAACTCGTGAAAGATTTAGCTCGTTTGATATCACATCATTAGCTCGTTTATTAAAAATGGTATTA